GTTTAACCCCTCAATGTCACATTTTAGGGGGTTTAACCCTTCAATATTACATTTTGGGGGTGTTCAATCCCTCAATGTCACATTTTCAACAGTTTCAACTCAATATTGTCACATTTTGGGGGGTTTAACCCCTCAATGTCACATTTTGAGGGGGTTCAACCCCACAGTGTCACATTTTGGGCAGTTTAAACCCCAAAGTGTGACATTTTAGGGGGGTTTAACCCCCCATGTCGCTTTTTGGGCAGTTTCAACCTGACAATGTCATATTTTAGAAGGTTTTAACCCCCAAATGTCACATTTTAGGGCCTTTTCCACTCACCCTTCAGTGTCCCACTTTTGGGGTGTTCAACCCCACAGTGCCCCAATTTGGGAGGATTTCAGCCAACATTTCAAGCCCCACTTTGTGCTGTTCCAACCCTCTAATTCCACATTTTTTTTTTTGGGAGAAAGAGAGCCTTCAACCCCTTCAAAAATCACATTTTTGTTGGAATTACACCCCGCAAAGTCCCATTTTGAGGGAATTTCAGCCCACCCTGCAATGTCCCCTTTTTGGGGGGCTCGTGCCACCCCCATGTCACACTTTGGCCCTGCACCTGTCCCTCTCCCTCGCTGGCCCCGTCGCCGTGGTGGCCAAAAATAACTTTTTGGCCAGCTCTTCCTTTTCCTAAATTAGTCATGGGGCAGGTGGAAATGTCACCCTGCCGCCAGCCCGGGGAGCCACAGAGGAAATCATTAAATTGGGATTTTTCCCTTGCTCTCTCCCCTCCTTTATTCCCCAATTCCCCTCCTTTATTCCCCAATTCCCCAAAAATCTGATTATCTCAAACTCATCCAGGGAAGGAATTTTTCTCCAAACTCCTGGAATAAAAGGAGGAATTACATTTAAATTTTTTAGCAATTTTTTTTTTCCTTTTCAGTCGTGCTGTTCAGAGAAAAGAATGTGGAGTGAATCTTCCTGGAATGTCTCTTTACAAGGAGTTTTTGGAGCAGTTTATTTTTTGTAAATAGACACAAATTCCTAAACTATTATCTCTCCAGAGAGCCTCCTCCTCCCCAGTTAACTCACATAAAATAAAGCTTTTTAAGGTAAGTTAACTCTGCACCTTGTGGAACCTCTGCTTTAATTTGAATTATTCCAGATATTTCTTATTTGGGGTTCTCAGAGCAATGTCAGGCTTTCCAACAATATTTTTGAAGTTTATAATGTGCATTTTTAAATAATATCTTGCCTTGTTCTTCCTTGTTATAAAACCACAGTGTGGCAGGATTAAAAGGTCACTGTTAAAAATATTAAAGGTTCCTACAGTGAGCTGTAAAGGGATGGTAAAAAAATCAGTGACACCAAATTTGGGTATTTGGGGTCCTGTTTGACATTTTATCTTGGGGTTTTCAGCTTTTACAGTGTAAAATCCAAATATCCAGGATTCCAAGGGAAGTTTCGGAAGGAAATAAAATATTTATATATATATATATATATATATAAATTTCCTTAAATTATTTTGACACCATGAACTTTTATTCAGACCGGCTCCTGAGCTGTGTTTAAGTTTAAATTTTCTCTTTCAGGCATGAAGAAGGTTTGTGGCTTCAAACCTCCTTTATCTCAGCCCAGCTGTGTCCGTTGAGCTGAAATAAAAATAAAAAATGTTATTTTTCTCCTCAAAGCTGTTTCTGCTCCTCAGCCACCAGGCCAAGGCCAAGTGCTAAAATCAGCTGCTCATGAATAAACATGAACTGCAAATTAGGGAAATTTTAACTGTCAGAGGTCACGATTCTGGCGGTTTTGCAGGGAAGATATTAAAGGCAAGAAAAAAAATCAGGTTTAAGGTAGAACCTGGTGAATTTATGTATGGGAATACAGCAAATGAGCTTTTCCAGTCTTAATTCCAGTGTTCCCATTGTTCTTATTATGAGGGGAAAGATTAATAAATAATATACAATATTAATAAATAATAATTATATAACAATACTATTATATAAACATATTACATAATATTATATATAGTATCAGATAATATATAACGTTATATCTTGTATATTATAATATACAATATATATTATATATTGTATTATATGATACGTTATATATTATATATTATATATTACATTATACTATATAGTATATCGTATATCATATATAGTATATAGTATATAGTATATAGTATATAGTATATAATATATAGTATATTCTATATACTATATATGATATACGATATACTATATACTATATAATATATATAATGATAATGTAATATATTTAATATATTATAATATAATATGGAAATATTATAATAGTATTATTTAATAATATAAATTAATCTATAATTTTTTTTTGTTCCTTGCACTTTCAACATCAATTCCAGCGTAAAATTATAATTCCAGAGAAATCTGGAGCTTGGATTCCTGAGTTTGAACAAACCCAGGGAAGTTGAAATTCCTGCCCTTGCAGGGTCTCCCCACATCACCCCCTCAGCTGCCAAAGGTAAAAAAAAATGATAAATTATCCTCAAATTAACTCCTACTCAAATTTTTTATTGCTTTTCTCACCCATCCCTGAAGCAGGAAGATGTCTGGGTCAAGAAACCCAACTCCAGGGATGATTTTACTGCATTTGACCTGATGAGAAGGGAAAAAGGAACCAAGAGAATCCAAAATTGTGTCAAAGTTCTGAGGGGACACCGGACCCGGCCACCTCTGCTCCAGTTCCCTTTGTGCTGCAGACCTGCTGATCCAAATAGTTCTGGGAGATTCCATCCCACTGGGTGAAATTTGTGTTTTTGAAATTTGTGTTTTTGAAATTTGTGTTTTTGAAATTTGCGTTTTTGAAATTTGGTCCCAGCTGGGTTTGCCTGCAGGGCCGTGGCTGAGGAATACAGGGGAGGGTTTTACCCTTGGGAAAAAAAAATAAAGAGATTTTGGCCCAAAGTTGTATCAGAAGAAACAATGAATTTTTTGGTGTATATTTTNTTCCCACCTGGCTGGGCCATGTGAGCACCCAAAGCCAGGCAGTGACACGAGGAAGGAGCTTTGAGGATTTCCAGACACCCAGGAAAAAGGGGCTGCTGTTGTGTTCTGGGTGAGCTCCACACCCATTTTATTGCAGTGATTATCCATTGAGTGATGAATTAAATCAGGACCTCAGAAGGAGACTGAAGTGGATTTTTAGTGAGTTGGTGATGTTACAAACAAGCCTTGCACAAAGCCTTTCTGTCTGCAGCAGCTCTCTTTGCTTTCCCAGCACAGCTCTACTTGCTCTGCTATAAAAATGCCGTTTCCAGCTTCTCTGTAAGCCAGCAGAATATAAAATAATTAAAAAATAAACCCCACCCAGGCCGTCCTGTCCATGTGGTGGGAATAAGTTATCCTCAGTTTTCAATTATATACAGAAGGGACTTGCCAAAGGGCAGAGGGAGAGGAGTTCACACAAATTCCCACTCCCACTTCCAAGTATTATTTACATCGCTGTACACGGATTTTTGGGGTCCTCCCAACCCTGCAAAGGAGAAGGGAAGAAGGGTGAGCCCCAAGCTGTGAAATTCCCTCAACAATCCCTCACCCTCCACCCTCTGGATTTTAATTACCTAGGAGCAATTTAGGAGCTTGTTGTGAATATCTTCAAACACTTGGTTGTAGAGTTCATCCCTGGACTTCAGGCCATCTAAATAAACTGGGAGAGAAAAGGGGGAGTCAGGCTGGGCTTTCCAGCAGGATAAGATTTTGGGAAATTAGTTTTTAAGTATTTTCATATTTTATTGACCCAAAGGACAACTTGGAAAAACAGACCCATCCTGAAAATACAATGGCCTGTGAAATCCTTATCCATTATAAATCCCTTCTTCTGCTTTTGGACTTTTTTGTCCCCTCTGAGTCTTTAAGGGTACATTGCAAAGGGAATAAGTTCTTAGCTCTAAAACTGCCAGCATTTTTCCAAAGCAGGCCAGGATTACAACTTGGCAGTAAAAATATCCCCCTGCATCATCCCAGTGGAATGAAATCAGCCAATTCCTTAAATCCCAGTGCCAGGAGTGAAGGATTTGTGTTTGGGGAACACTCACCCACATCCACCCCTGAATCCTCCATCTCCTTCCTGTGTTTGAGGTACATGGGCCACACGTGGCCGTCGAACAGGCCCGGGGGGTCGGGCACCGTGTAATTCCGTGTACTGCAATTAATAACGTGGAGAAGGAATTAATTTATTCAGGGAGGGGGCCTGGGTGCAGCTGGGAAAAGAAATTCTGATGGAAAGGGCTGTGAGGGATCAGCACAGGCAGTGCTGGATGCCCATGGCTGTGTTTGGGCACCTGGGGACTGGTCAGTGCTGAAGGGTTCATGGCTGGGCTCCATCCAAGCTCCTCTCCAAGCCCAGCTTCCATTCCAAGCTGACCACACCCAACTCCCTTCCGCTCCAATTTCCCACTCTCATCCAGCTCATGGCACCAACACATCCCACAACTGTGAATGCCCATCCCTGGCAGTGCCCAAGGCCAGCCTGGGGTGGTGGGAGGTGTCCCTGCCATGGCAGGGCTGGCATCAGATGACCTTTAAGGTCCTTCCAACCCCAGCCCCTCCATGATTTCATCAGATGGCCTTTAAGGACCTTCCAACCTCTCCATGATTTCATGAGATGACCTCTAAGGACCTTCAAGGACCTTCCAACCCCTCCATGATTTCATGACATGACCTCTAAGGACCTTCCAACCCCAACCCCTCCATGACTCCATGAGATCACCTTTAAGGACCTTCAAGGACCTTCCAACCCCAACCCCTCCATGACTCCATGAGATCACCTTTAAGGACCTTCAAGGACATTCCAACCCCAGCCCCTCCATGATTCCATCAGATGACCTTTAAGGACCTTCCAGGACGTTCCAACCCCAGCCCCTCACGCCCCCATGGCCAAGGGCAGTGTGAAGGACAGGAGGGCAGGGCTGGTGCCCACCCAGCGATGTTCTCACCTCCTCCTCCTCTTGCACTCGTCGTAGGGCACGGCCAGGTAGTAGCGAAGGTCAAAGAGCTCGATCAGAGGTCTGGGGAGGGGACAGAAGGTGGAGATGTCACTTGTAATGACAGCAAAAAGCATGAAATCAGCCCAGACATCACAGAAATCTCCCTGCCCCTATGGGGTTTGTGTCTGTTGAAGACAAGCCAAGGGTTGGTTAACTCAGAACCATGGAGAGTTTTTTCTGAAGGTCAGAATGGCCCAAGCAGGGACTTTTCCCACCCGAACACCCCCACTGGTCCTGAGGGGGATCCTGTGGAGGATCAGGCTGGGAACCCTGGCTCTTCCTACATCATTCCAAAATCAGCAAAATCTGGGACAGGGCAACTCCTCAGCTCACGTGCATGGAAGTGCCCAAGGCCAGGCTGGATGGGCTTTAAGGTCCCTTCCAAACCCTTTTGGGATTCCATGGTTCTCCACAAACACCCAGAGCTGCCTCTGCCCCACCTGCTCCCCTCACTGAGCTCAGTGCAGTCAGTGTTAAACAAGCACAGCAGAGAGCTGCTCCTGAATTCCAGCAGAGATTCCAGCCAGGGAATGGATTATTGCCTTGCTCTTGGGGGGATGAGGGGAAACCTGCAAAAATCCTGCTCTGAAACTCCCCTGGAGTTCAAGGCTTTGCCCTAAATCAGAACTTAAATTCACCTCACTTCTACACTTAGGAGTTAATTTTACATTTTTCAGCAGGAAACTCTCCGGGGTGAGAATTCAGAACAAGGCAGGAAGGGGAAATTAGTAAAAAGGAGTTTTTAGCTCTGGCACGAGGGATTTAAGGATCTTCCCTGGCAAACCACGAAGAGTTCTCCAAACCTTACTTGTAATTATAAAGCAGGAAGCCTTCAATGACCAATATATGGATATCTTGGGAGGCTGGCTCTCTAGAGCCAGGTGTGACATTCACCCCGTGCGAGCGGGCAAACTTCACTGGGTTCTCAATCCAGGCCCGCACTGTGCTCACCAGGGCCTCCATGTCCAGGGAATCCAACACTGCTCAGGAGAAAGGGGTGGGTGGGAAAAAGGGACACCATCAAACACCATCACACACCACGGGCTCCAA